CAGACCTCGTGATCACGCTGCGGCGAGGAAACGGCCCTGCTGCTCGTGAGCTGGGGGGCATCAGAGCTGAGCTGAGTGGGACCCGTGCCAGCCCAAAGACTTCCAGGCCTGGGCTTTCCCTGCCAGGACGCGGTCCCGGCTCTGCTGCCAGCCCAGACGTTGGCATCGCAGACGTCCCGTCCTCCCTCTCTGCCTTGGGTTTTACTTGCGAAACCCGGGTGCAGCTGCGCTCCTGGCATCGCCAAAAACCGGTGGCGAGGTGTCTGGCCACCATGGCAGGGCTCCGGGCTCCGGGGATGGCTGCCCCTGCCTGGCCTGGGCACCGCTCCGTTGGTTTCTCTCTCTTCCCTTGGTTCCTTCGAAAGGGAATGAGGAGAAGGAGAAGAATCTCCTTTTTTTTGAGGAGGAAATTCCTTCTGCCACCGCAAAAGTGCCCGCTTCCCTGTGCCACAGGTGCTGGACGAGTTCTCCAGGCAGGTCAGCAAGGTGGACTGGCCCTCGGGATCCCCGGCCACCATCAGCTACGGGGCGTTGGACGGGTACCTCAGTAAATACCAGGTACGGCCCCCTGGCACCCCCCAGGTCCTGCCCGGAGACCGGGAAACGCTCCCCATGGCCCCCAGCTCTGGAGGGGGAAGTGTGGGTGAGACCCTGGCATGTGCCAGGGCACTGGCGCTGCAGGGCGGTGGCACGGGGGATGCTGGCATCCCGGCGGCAGTGCCCACACCGTGGTGTTTCTCTCCGAGAACCCCCGTGATGCCGACCCGATGACCAGAGTGCAGGCGGAGCTGGACGAGACCAAAATCATCCTGGTGAGGAGGAGGCTGGCACATCCATGGGGCGCTGGGGTGTGGGGTGGCATCTCCAGGCGATGGGGCTGTCCTGCCTTCTCCGTTCCCTGGAGACATTCCCGGTCCTGTGGGAGCTGCTTCTCCCTTCCCACCCCTCCAGGCTGGCCCCTTCCCTCCTCTAAACCACCATCCCTTCCCTGCGTGGCATCGCATCCTCGTGTACCCTGTGTGTGCTGCCACCTTCGCCGGGGGGTCTTCTCCCGGTCTTTATGGGAGCAGGGATTGCTCCCTCCATCACTAGGGTGCCGGGGGGCAGGTGGAGGATCCCACGGGACGGGCGCACGGTGGCACCTCCATCTTGTGCTGGGGGCCAGGGAGGGCCCAGGGTGCCAACGCCGTGGGTCAGCGCCGGTTTCTTGCGGCAGCACAACACCATGGAGTCGCTGCTGGAGCGAGGGGAGAAGCTGGACGACTTGGTGTCCAAGTCAGAGGTGCTCGGGGCACAGTCCAAGGCCTTCTACAAAACTGTGAGTGCACATTCATGCCAAGGGAGGGCACCCCCCTCCCCGAGGAGCCTGCGATGGCCTGGCATGGGGAAGGGCAGAGCAAACCCCCGGAGCAGTGCACGTGGGTGCCAGGCAGAGTGGCTGTGGGCACAGGGGAGCTCCCTTGCCCAAACCCCGGCTGTGGAGCTCCTCGGCCCCTCGCCCAGGCCGACCCTTTGCCCTGCGCCTGGCGGAGGGTGACGCCGATCCC